CCTACTAGGGGAGAAGGCACCCCGTTGAGAAGCAAGGCAGCGGCATCTCTTTCCTCTTCCATCCTTCATTCTGTCTGTATCAATCAAAATACTTTGGATCCTTCAGACCAGCAGACTGACCACAGACACCCCCTGGTCCTTACTGAAGCTGTTGTACATTACACAGGCAGCAAATAACAACGCAGAGCTACACCAGACTTACTGAGGATGCTTCAAATCCGCTTCAAGTCGACAGCTTCAGGAAAGCCCATCCTGAGCACATGGATTACCTGGAACACTCAGCTCATTACATGAAGCAGACAGATAGCTAAAGCAACTCGAGCAATTAGCTGGAAGGAGTTAAGCCATTAAAAGACAAATGCTCAAATTTGTGTGTTGAAGAGTACAGGCAGATTTGCATTCCCACTAAATGAGTGTTCTTTTCAGTCCTTGGCAGTTCATTTGGACTTTTGCATTTACAGCAGGAAACAATACAGATTATGCTTCAGACAACCACAGTTTATTTCTTGAGACTTACTTGCAAGCAAACCTGAAATATGCATTAAGATAAAAGAGTATCTATTTCATCTGGTACCAACTACTCTGAATTCAAAGCTACCTCAATCTCTGAAGCTTACACCAAGCCATTTCAAAGTATTTATATCATTTTGCAAGCGTTTAGACAGGAAGCTTTTCTATACTCACCCTGGAGGAAGTGGTGGCATTACTGATATATGTCCTGCACTACATTAAGTGTGGCTGTGGAGTTATTTATGTGCTTTTCCTGACGACTTTTGACACAGGAGTTGATTGCAGTGCTGTATGATTATGTCTGCATCTCTGAATCTTTCTTTCTCAGCTGGAAAGTCTCAAGTTCCAAGCTGGGATTCCCTCTCCACCCCCTTCTCATGTACTTAACCCTCCTTCTGCTGGAAGTGTCTAGTAAACACCCACGAAATACTCTTAGGTATAAAAGACTACAGAGCAGCAGGAAGTGGGAAGGCAGCATTTTAGGAGGGGGAAAAAAAGAACTTTCTTAGATGCTCTTTGCTTATGAACTCTGTGCTGTAGACATCTCTTTTTAATTATGATATTTTTAACTGTGGACCCTTAGAAACAAATCCCAAAGGATTTGGGATTTCAAATTATGGGGTTTTGTTGTTGTTCTGCTTTGGTTTTAAATTGTGTTTAATTCTTTTTCTTATGATCTTTATCAGCCCAGCCCTCCTCCCGGGGTTCCCAGACCACCTAGGGACAGAAGCATGGTTCATTAGTAAGGCTATTGCTGTCAGCTACAAACAAGCATCTGTGCACACCTATCACTTCTCTGTTTCACTGGTCACAACCCAGCCAAATGCACTTGTAGCCCAACTCAACACTTGTAGCTGAGAGCTACAAAGCAGATGAGAACGTGCTCAGTTCTGTGGGATGAAATAGCTGCCACTGTCATCGGTTTCTGAGCCAAAGGTTTCCTATGGGGCAGTCGTGTCACACAGCCACTAGCCATTCTATGTCATCTTGCTCAGATTTGTGCAGAACAACAGCAAGACAAGCAGCACCCTACAGCAGAGCTCAGACTGCTCTCAAGGTCTGGAGCAAACCTAGCACATATATATGACTATAGCAGCTACAAAAGCTTGCACGCTGGAGTTTTGATTTACTCACCAGAGCCAGCACTTCTGATGCACCACAGCCCACACTGCCACCATGAACTTCTCTGAACAAAGTAAAGGACATGAACTCAGAATGGAAACTAAAAGCTTATACCCTGCCTGTGATGAAATGTGGGCTGTTGGTAACTGAAACCCACGGAGAGGTGGCCTGTGGGTACTGCTGGAGCCAGCACATGCAGTCACTGGTGCAGTGGGAGCTATTGCCGTACCTGCAAAAGACATGAGGTTGCTCTGGGCTTTTTTCAGCATGTTGATAAACTTTATTTAGGACTTTATTTTAGTGGCAGCTGAGCTTTTTTAGGAGATCCTGAACAAGGATAACAAACTAGTGGTGGGTTTGGTGTTTCTGGATGCTTTAGTGTCAATCTCACCGACACAGCTGCAATGTGGAAGTAGGGAAAGTGCTCAAGATACAGAATGGAAATTCATACAAAGACTTCAGTTGATTGAAGCTGAAACCATAGAGAATAGGACTGGAAAAGACTCACAAACTACGGAAATAAGCACGCAAGACTTACACCCTCCTTGCCCAAACTGAAGAGTTCTTCACTGGTGTTTTTTTTCCCAGGAGCAACACTCCAACCAAGGACTCTTAAATCTCACCCTTCATTTGCCCAAAGCTACAAAGATTTAGTGACTTGGAGCCAAAAGCCTGCAGGCACAAGGGAGCTCATATCCAAGCTCATCCTTCTACAAGGCTCATTTCTGTACAGCACAGAGAGATCCATACCGTGAATCAGATGGCAGGTAAAAACCAAACTGAAAGCCAAATTACACACAGAAAACCTTCCTCAAAATGTTCAGCCACTTGCTATCTAGGAAGCTTTATCAGTGCCAAGTGTGTTGCACTTGCTCAAAGAAAGGGACTGGCATGAAAAACAGCCTGTGCAAGACATTGACAGAGGTCAAAGTTTCTTATGGGAATATTCCTACAAAAGATGATTTTCTGGTAGAAATGATTAATACCTTCCATCTTTTACAAAATGTGAAACAAAAGGAAAAAAATCTTTTCTCTAACACTAAGGTGCATTCAGACTTTTGCCACACAGGAAAATTTCCATAAAAACATGGGAAAATTCTTGAGACACAACACACCAGAGAAACTCCCCAGTTTCATGGTAAGGGTCAATTTAAAGGAATTTCAGGCAGAACAACAAACAGACATAACCCTCCCCTGCCTACCCCCAACTATTTAAAAACATAGTAAGGTATAAAAAGTAATAATAATGAAAATCAAAAGAAAACCCCAAACATCTGCCCTCCACCTCGCCCATGCCTACCTCTAAAGCTGCTGTTCCTTGGGTAAAAGTAGGATATTTTTGTTACTACTGTATTTCAGAAAATGAAGAACTTCTCAGCGTGAACCACCTCCCTGGGCTGCACATTTAACTGCCGAAAGGAGCAAAAGGCAACCTGAATGAAAGAGGAAGGGATACAGAACAAATCAACAAACTGTTTCTCATCTTTTCCTTGTTCCTCACGCCTCCTCTTTTATGAATATTTTGGGGGTTTTATTTCTCCTCTGGTTTTGCTGAAGAGAGCAGGGAGCCCATTAGAGCTGGGGGATTAAGAGAGTTGAAGTAGGATTGAGTAATAAAATTGCTTTTAAATAACACCAATTATGCAAGGCAGATGGCCCCAGCCGAGAGCACGGCGTTTCCCACATGCCGGGACAGGAAGCAGAACGGAGCACGTTCTGCTGTAGGAAAAGCATATCATTTGTGTCTGATTAAGTCATACCAATTTGTGATTATTACAGAGGAGCTGCCCTAAGAGGGTTATGACACCAGGAGATGGAAGCAGGCGTTTTAGGGAGGAAAGGCATCAAATGACAAGTTTAGCTGCTGTTTAACCCCTACTGGAAGCACAATTCTCAGTGCAACTCACTGGACCAGCTACTTGTGTGCTCACCTGGGTGCGTGCAAAAGAAGGTTTCATTTTCCTACCACGTGGGAACAGCAGGGGAAAATCTGTTCAGTAAACTGAGAACGTTACTAATTAACGGCAGACAATGTGGTGAATTCTGTAACTGTTAATTAAGCCAAGTTAAAGAGCTGCTTCCCTGTGCACAAGGTAACGGCTGTAATGGCTTTTTTCTGCTCGATCCAATTCAGAATCAGACAGACCAAGGGTTTCTCATTTATTTCTTTTAAATCAGGGGTAGCAAGCCAAGCTCCTCAGGTAAGATCAAAGCAGAAAAATGGATTTAGGTTTTGCATCAGATTAAAAATAAATGCTATGGAAAGGCGAGAGTAAAAAAAAATAATGCATCAGAAGGAAGCAAAAGGGGAGAGGCGACTTCAAGGACCAAAGTCGTAAGAGATAAGCCAGTCCCATGGGAATTCAAGCAACAAGACAGTCCTATCTAAATATACACATATGCATACACATATACATCAAGTAAGCTGGAGTGCACCTTTCAACTAGTCAAATGGTGCTGGCCAGCTCCCAGTTTGTTTCCTGCTTTACCCAGAAAGCAAGTGGTAAATTTAACATACAGAATCACAGAACCACGGAATGGTTTGGGTTGGAAAGGACCTTAAGATCACCCAGTTCCAATCCCTGCCATGGGCAGGGAGGCCTCGCTACCCATGTCCATCACTCCTCCTCCTCCTCGCTGCCCATCACGTCACCAAAACCTGGCCTTGAACACTGTCAGGAACGGAGCATTCACAATTTCACTGGGGCAGGCTGTTCCAGTGCCCCACCATGCTCACAGTAAAGAACGTCTTCCTTATATCTAACCTAAATCTCCCCTGTTATGTTTTAATCCATTACCCCTTTTCGTATCAAATAAATTTTGCAATTAGAAATTATTACATATACATAGAGGAGGTTTGTTTTCCCTGTGGTAATAGCATGAGAGGAAGTCCCTCTGGTTTCAGTGCAAGCAAACCCCAGTGCATGTAGAGAACAGAAATCCCAAAGATTCCTTAAGAAACACAGGGAATCAGTGTGGAAAACAGGGGTATTTATTATTTTCAATTAGATGTTCTAATCACAGTGAGGGCCCATGAGCAGTCTGTACTTACTGCTGGCATCACAGCACAGCATGGGGAGATGTCACGCTAATCTCTGCTTTCCACTCAGGCTTTTGTTGATCTGTTTCACAACCAGATTAACCTTCTTTAGCTAGCATGAAAAAATGTGAAATAAAATACTTACTGGAAGATTATATTACGTATAAACTCATGCTTAACACAAGCTGATGGACAGAGATGAAACCGGACAGTTTACTTCAACATTCAAAACCACAGTATAACCTGAGGGACCAAAAGTACAAAACTGTTCCCAGCCTACTGGTTAATTAAAGATATTCATACTGATGAATAAATAAACCTTAAAATATAATTTTCTGCTTCAAATATAAATTTTTTATTAAAGGACATTTTTCCTTTGCAATATGCGAATTTAGAAAAATTGAATAGGAAACAAACATCAGAATTCACTTAAGTTTAAAATGAGGCAAACAAAGGAGAGGTTTGCTCTTGAATTAAACTTCGCATGTGAAGTTGTAGATGCGGAAAAATAGGTTTTCATCCAGCTCCATCCGATTTACCCTGCTAAAGAACAAAGCCTGATTATAAACCCCTTGGCACCTTTTGAAAGAAGAGGAGTGTTAACCCTTTGCCCCAGCACCGCTGCACGTGGGCAATCGTATCCCACACACACCAGCTCTGACTTCAGCTCTGCACAACTCCTCTTGCCTTCACACGCTCTGTGGCTTCTTACTCCTGTTTTTGTGGGGTATAAAACAACCTCTGCATATGTCAAACCTCATTTAGCAGAAAAATGAAGCATGTCCACTTGTACCACTGCATTAAAAAAGCAATCTCAGTTTACCCCAAACACCACTCTCTAACTGAATGACTTTCTTATTCCCGGCTTCATTCAAGGAAATGAGGTTTGACTGTTGAGTACTCATCTAAATCAGCAGAGCTTATAGAAGTGCTTTGGGATTGCAGTGAATGAAAGGAACATTCTTATTTCTGATAATGGGAAACAGTTTTTGTTGAATTATATAGTTACAGCTCTAAATTTTCAGTACTTAGATTATTAGGAATTCAGAAAGAATACTGATTGCCAACAGAAGTTTGTGCAGAGTGAGATTCTCTGAGTGATTTTGGGTTGTTTGGTTTTTTTTTTTGATATTGGTTTTCTCACTGTACTTTCTAACAAGAAACTCTACAGCAGTTGTGTGATGTGATGTGATGCGGGTAACACATTACAGGGCCACCAGAACATACCCAATTGTATGCCAGGATCTCCACGGCGGGGACTAGCACTAGAGCAACATTTTGGTCAGCATTCCTTGCTTTATAGGCAAACTGTCAATACTGAAATGCCTAAAAATGCAGCTAATGAAGGCATTCCAGTCTATCTGGGTCACAGAAGGGTGCTCATTTTTATAGGTTTGTTTTGCAAGACAAAATATGTAAAACTAAAGAGGAATGAAAGGAAAACAGAAAAGAACCCAGATCCTTCACATTTTTAGACTGATTTCTAGTTGGACAATCCATCAAACCATAATATTTTTATTAGGTTTTGCATCAGGACCATAGAAGCCCTTAAGAATTCACAAGACAGATGCTCTTTCAGGTGGGATTCAAGATTAAATGATCTGAAAAGTCATTCTTATGGTATTGTAGTGACTGCACAGCCATAACAACCTCTCAAGAATTTTAGTACAACATTAAGATAAATATTGAGGTCCTGGCTATAGTGAACTTAATATCAAAAATAACCAAGGGAGACAAGCAGGGTAAGCAGAGGCTCTCCTTCCCTGAAGCCCACATGCCTAAATATTACTACACAAAACAAAATCAAACCCATGAAAACAGTATTCTGGAGTTCACAATATGAATTACAAATAAAATATGCAGCCGATCCTAGCCTAACCTTACGAGAAACGTTCCCTCTGAAGACTCTTGGTCATATGTTCTCAATCTCTGCCTCTTGGACAAAAGTAGTGTGAGGAGAAAAAGAACTGTTAAAAACAAGAAGTTTTGCTGAGGGAAAAAAGAACCTTACTATTGAAAAGTCAGAGGCTGTGAATAACAGAAGGAGACATAATGAGAATGCATTTCTAGCTGACCTACCAAACACAGTCAGTCTTCAAAGGCAGAACTGCATCCGTGGTGAAACACCACCAACCTACCTGAACAGAGTCAGGCAAAGCCTTAAGTACCTGTGCAAGATTTTCAGTCTTTGAGTTATAATTACTTTTAGGATTTCTTATTGTTATGTTGATATGTTATTGTTACGATAAACCTCTGTAGGGACATGCTCTTCACACTTGGCACAGAACCTCACAGCCTTTTCACAGTCACAAGCATTTCCTAGAAGGGAAATAATTCCTGAATTACTCTGCCTGGGAATGACTTATTTGTAAGTGACACACCCTGCGATGTCTAGAAAACACATAAAACATTCCTGAAGACATTTCCTCCCTGGGCAAGGACATAAATCCTCCAAAAAGGGAAGACGGATGGGAATTACTCATAGGAATAACCTGGCTCAGTGTTGAAGTCTCTTTTCTTTGAAGTATAAACACAGTGTGACACGGCTTAGACTAATGTAAACACTGGCGAAACACTAACATCTTGAGGGACATGCAGTCTTAACATCTGAACGCAGCAGACCTCACTATGCTGCTCTCCTTACCTATTTTAATTGATTTGTACAATCCCCATTCCACACTGGTGAAGTGGATTTCATTTCCTTGAAATCTAGTGAATGCTACCTCACGGCTTGATAACGCCTTTACAACCACTTTTTAGCAGAAGAAACTTGCTACTGGCTAAAGGAAACCTCTCCTGAACTCAATTTCATCTTGTACCTGAGCTGAAAAATGCAAAGAGAGGAGAATTCTTAGTTGCACCATAAACCAAAGATAGATTCCTTATAGTTTAAAGGCATGTGCGCTCCCCTTGAAAGCAGAAGATGCTCAGGATGCACGAGGAAAGCCAAGTAAGAGTACAGCTCTCTGAAGAAGACAGGAAAGCCAATATGGCCAATATGTATATAGCAAGAGAGTGCTTTGCAGTGGCAGCATTGCCATCCCAGCTTTCTCACTGTCATTTCTAAGTGATAAATTATTATTAAGCAGCCATGCTAAAATGTACAAGCCTTGCTTTATTTTTAGGCTCTGATTCGGAGGCCAAGCTCTTCAAACATCACCCAGTCTGAGAACCACTATTAAAAAAAGAAACTGAAGAGCAGCCAAATTCTTGGCCTGCTGCAAACATTCTATTCAATAAGCTGTGGTTCGGTTGGCATTGTACTTGTGCGTCAAGAAATATCCTAAAGAGAAGTAGGAATTTACATAAAGCGTAATACTTACCAGGGACATTCCCAAAAATTGGGTGAGCTTAACCCTTCCTTTCATAAAAAAAAATAAGTAAATGTTATTTGAATTCAAAGATGTAGAATTTGTGGCTGTGCCCCACTGATTAATATATTAAATGCATTAGGAGCCATATATTGACAATAACCACACAGCAAGTCTGCTCATAAACAAAATACAAAGCAACAACTCCCCCAGTAAACTGTATTTTCCTAAAGCACACCATTAAGATAAGCAGGCTCTAGCAAATGTGCACCCTTTCCACTCAAGCTTAGCAAAGACGAAAACGTTGCTTTCTTCAAACTGACATAAAGTTTCCTGTAAGTTTCAGTGACAGCTATCAGACTGTTGCAGCCCAGCTTTTTATGGGTGAATCCCAAACTGAGGTATTGCCACAAATGGCTGGACAAAAGAGGCAGAAGGAACAAAAATGGATAGCTCAGAAGAATTGGTCACATTCAAAAAAAAAAAAAATTAAAATCATAAATTCATTGTATAAAATAGGATTTGCAGACTCAAAAGCTTAACTATCACATTTTCAGATAGTAGCATAATCTAAGATAGGTATCTTCCTTATACACTTAAATCTTACTTCTCAGTTTGACAGCAAAGCTTGCCAGAGAGCATCTACCTTCAAACACTCCAGAGCTAAACTCTTACAGCACAGTCCAGTCAAACCATATTCATTCCTAAGGCAGAGAGCAACTTAGAGCTGCACTATTCATAAATACACATTTATTTCTCATTAAAAATGCATAATTACAGCATTTTAAAGCCTTTTCCCCTAGAAAAGTAGTTAAGCAACAGTACAAACAAAATTGTTAGTCTTCTGCAAATACAGTTTTCATTACACTGAACAGAAAACACCAGCAAAAGGCTAATACTTGCAGTTATGGAATTTTTCTTTTTTTAAATATTTTCCATTTTTTGTTATAAACACCATAGCAAATAAAAAAAGCTGTTTAAACAGTGAAAAATATTTGAGCTCTTGATCTATATGTGGTAAAGCAAGTATTGCAAGGCAGCAATACACTAGAGATATCTGCAGACATTCAAATGGTGTATTTCACAGAAGAAATGAACAGGATGAAACACTGATTTAGTCTCACAGTTTTGATTCATTAGATTTCTTTCTTTCTAAAAGACTTTTCCCCCTCTTTAAGTGTACCTAAGGGCAGGCCATTCATTTTTTCTGAAGGCCAGATTCTCAACTGATGCAGTGATGTAGCTCCAATTTAAGTAAATGGGTCTCATTTATTCCAGGTGAGGATGACCAGATCATCAGAACTCTGCAATTCACAGGACATATTCGAGGTGTGACCATTAGTCTAAAGGGCATTTCCATTCTCCTGTCGTTGCACGAAGATGACAGCACTTTACTTCTGGCTGTGGATCACCCACATCTCAGAAGTTAATGCAGCTTTTCACAGTTCTCTTATTGGATTTGGATTGCTCCATGTTCTATCTGCATTTCTGGCTGGATTGCTGATTGAAGAGTATCAGTGCCCTGCAAAAGGAAACATCAGTAAATCAGTACAACAGTGCTTTCCACTGGTGTGGCCAAGGGAACGTGAACATATTATAGCAACACAAAGTTCTTGTGTATACACCAGTGCAAAATCTGTATGGATATCATTTCTATGAGAGAACTGAAATGGGAATACACTTACAAAGGCACCAAAAATAACAAAGAATCCACACGAAGCCCACACAGACTACTGCCCTTCAGGCTGGAAAGAGAAGGCTGAAATAATAAAACCATGATAAAGATCTATAAAATCATTGAGTGGCACAAAGAGAGCAAATAGAAAAAAATCATTCCCTCTCTTCCCAAAAAAAGAACAAGTTCCAAAAGGAAGCAAAATAAAACTCGTGTGTGGCACAACATGCACCAAAGCTGCAGAAGGACTTGTCCCAGCAAGATGCACATGCTGACAGCTTGGGGGTATGGAGTGTTATGGACAGAAGTTCACTAAGGGTGATCATAGAAAAGACAGTAGGATGTTGCTGAGTGACAGAACTATTGTAGGTAAGGTGAGTAAAATTACCTGCTTGGCCTGTGCTTTCAATTTCACCAGCTGGTGCAGGATATGGTCTAAAACTGCTGTCTTTACCCACTGCAGTCTTTCTCTATTTTGTGTAAAATGAGAGTAGTGCTACTATAGAGAACTTCTTTCTTAAATAAATTTCATCCTACTGGCCTGATTCTATTCACTTTCCAAGCAGAAACAGTTCTCCGTGAAGGAATTTAAAGCAAATACAGTTGACTTCAGCTCTCAGAGGAAGTCTCCTTAAAAATCACATTACTGCCTACCAGAAGTCTGACAAGGCCGTGAAAGGATAATCCCATAGTGAACTGTCTTTTCAGCCAAGTTAGTTGGAGTAAGGAGAACGAGATTATGACACAAACTCCATCCTTAGAGCTGTAAGATGAATAGCATTTAAGAGCAGCTGTATTGGCTTGGATAAAGCCCATCACACCCAATAAGCCTTCCCCTGATAGCAACCAGTATCAGAAGCATAGATAAACTACAGGGAAAGGGCAAGCATTTAATGATATTTTCCCGTTCACTCCCACAGATTCCAGAGATCTGCCCTTGATGGATTTTCCCTCCATAAAAACATCTAATAGATGCTTTATGTAACGCCTTGAATACAGAATAATTTCTGTGGCAGGAATTCCACTCTGGAAAAGTCTTACTTGAAGCCCTGCTTTATAGCCTCAGCCTAGGATCTGCAGGATGATCTACAATAACACAAGGGTGGAAACTCAACAAGTCTTCCCATCCTTTAGGTCTCACTCTACAGTCCCACCTTACTTATGCAAATGAAAACACTGGAGTTTCAAAATTATAACGCACTGCTCCTAAATTAATGTTTTGTTGTCAAATTATTTCCTTTCAGTTCCCTACCTGGTTGCCAGGAATTGAAAACAGGTACCAGTTTTTTTTCCTGTTCAACTTTAAAAGTTATCTGGTATTTACTTAATTGTGCAATAAATTAGTGCCAAAGTGATGAATAATTCTACCAGATTACTAAATTTGATAGTAATTCAAGTGACCAAAGTTTTCTTTCCCATTAGAGGAAAATTACTGAAATATTGTAATTATTAAATAATGATGACAACAGTAATGCTGCATATTTATCCAACATTCAGACTAGAAGACTGACCAAAGCGATTAGAAACATGCTTTGGATTGGGAATTATGGTGGGTTTTTTTTCCCAAATCTAACAACATTTACTATCAGCATATGAATTTCAGCATAGAATTAATCCAAATTTCTAAATTTTGCAAGCTGCTGTAAGTAAGAAGGCTATCGAGACATGAAAGCAAGCTTCAGCTGTGTTCAGAGAACGGATTTGTTTCAAATACCCTCACTCCAATCTTCAGCTTCCAAGTGCAACTGCTTCCAAAGGCACGGCTTTCAAGAAGGAAGGTCAGAAAACCGGTACTTTAAATAAGCTCACACTTTGGGTGTTTCAAACATGGAATTTGCATAGACCATAGCACCTCCACTTCCATAAGCTTTGACTGATAAAAAAGAGGCCTTGGGTGATATGGTTTAGTGTGAGGTGTCCCTCCCCATGGAAGAGGGGTTGGAACTAGATGATCTTAAGGTCCTTTCCAACCCTAACTATTCTATGATTCTATGATTCTAAGATACAAAATCTTTGAGAACATCTCAGTACCTTGACATAACCATATGAAAACAGATGGGGTCCTAGTGGACGACAGGATGACCATGAGCCAACACTGTGCCCTTGTGGCTAAGAAGGCCAATGGCATCCTGGGATGTATTAGAAGTGCGGTGATTAGTAGGTCGAGAGAGGTCCTCCTTCCCCTCTACTCTGCCCTGGTGAGACCCCATCTGGAATATTGTGTCCAGTTCTGGGCCCCTCAGTTCAAGAAGGACAGGGAGCTGCTGGAGAGAGTCCAGCACAGGGCAACCAAGATGATTAAGGGAGTGGAGCATCTCCCTTATGAGGAAAGACTGAGGGAGCTGGGTCTTTATAGTTTAGAGAAGAGGAGACTGAGGGGTGACCTTATTAGTGTCTATAGATATATAAAGGGGGAATGTCACGAGGATGGAGCCAGGCTCTACTCAGTGGCAAACAATGATAGGACAAGGGGTAATGGGTGCAAACTGGAACACAAGAGGTTCCGCTTAAACTTGAGAAGAAACTTCTTCTCAGTGAGGGTGACGGAACACTGGAACAGGCTGCCCAGGGAGGTTGTGGAGTCTCCTTCCCTGGAGGCATTCAAAACCCGCCTGGACACATTCCTGTGTAACATTATCTAGGTGTTCCTGCTCTGGCAGGGGGATTGGACTAGATGATCTTTTGAGGTCCCTTCCAATCTCCAGCATACTGTGATACTGTGTGATACTGTGTGAAAGTGTCATTACAGCCTCACTGAGACGGTTTTCCCTTCAGGTGAGATCTTTCCTTTCAGATAAGACATCTTTCTAAAATGATGCAGATCAATACCCATACTTTTAGCCCCTGCAACGGTATTGAACTATTTACATAACTCAGAATAATGCAACTATCATCTCAATATGTGTAACTTCAGCCCTCAAAAAAGCTATTGAACTATTCACGTAACCCAGAGTAACGCAAGTACCAAGTTGATTTCTCCAATTCATTAACAGATCCTTAGTTTTCAGTTTGTGTAAACTGAGGAAATATTTATGGCAAACTTTTCACCTTGTCTGTTTTTCCTTTCACAGTCTTCTTATTTCACTTTCTTTTTCTGCTTCTCTTCAGCTTTGTATAAATCCCTGTGGCTAACCGCAATATTAAAACCTAACACAGTGCGAAGTGTTCCTGAAGAGAAAAGCGACTCCTCTGATGGCTGCCAGTTGCATGGAAGATAGATGCCAATGAACTGTGCTTCGTAACCTCCTGTCCCCCTGACAGAGGTGCTAGCAGAGAAGGGAGGACAGGCACGAGAAACAGACCCAAGAGAAAGTCCATGGGAGGGAAATACGAGAGCTTCCCAGGCCTAGAGTGAGGACAGCAGCATGAGAAACACCTCTCACTATCTGATGCATATATGCTTTATTAACTGCATGGGACCAGCAGTACTCAAGGATTTGTAAGAAATAAGGCATGATCCCTCTAAGCAACAGCCTTCTTGTCCAGGGTGCTATTACAAATGACATATGGAGACTGTTAACATAGAGGTTAATCTAGAAAAGATGGAAAATGCCTACCTGGGGCCCATCTATGTGAAAAGACCAGCATACAGAAAGCTAGAGTGTAATCTTACAGCACAGCATGCTCACACACCAGTTAGGCTGACCAGGGAGCATCATTATTCTGAAAAGCTGTTTGTAGAATCCAGGTGAGGAGCAGCTCCAGCTCCCCTCCTAGCACCAGCTGGTGCAGACAGCACGTCATTAACACACCTGTACACAACACAGCTACTGGGACACTGATGTGCTTTGATTTCATATACTGAACTGATCTGCAGACTGCATTGTTCAGGGAAGAAGCACTGAGCACTTCAGCTTTGTGCACACAAAGTCTGGATGTAATTCCCTTGATTTCTTGTGCAATTTTTTATTTCCACCTCAAGAGACTCAATATCCAACATAAACATTTATAGCCAGATCACATTTTACTAAACTGTGGAGGTATCAGACAAAAATCCACACTAATATTTGCTGCTAAGGATACCATTATATCTTGGCTAGCAAGCAACAGCTTATTCTTCACAACCACTTGACATTCTCTAGTAAAGAAGCCCACTAAGTGGGGTTCAGAGAAGAATGTGTAACCAGCTTCAGAAAACATAACTGTATTGTCAGCACTTTTGTGTTGTCACCAGTCATAGCTTCAAGATGATGAGGGGCTTTTTCTTGACTCAGATACATGAGAGCTCTTAAAAGGGAAAACAAAAAGTAACTCTTCCACCATAAGTGAGAAGATCAAGTATTCACTTACAATTGCTAATATTCCGGCTTCTAAGGGAAATCCAGGCTGTTGATGAAAATAACTGGAAAACTGCTGTCAGAAAGGGAATAATATTTTTAAGAGAAACCTCAGTCTGAAAAATACTTTTTGGGTAGGTTCCTAGCAAGTTTGCCTTGTCCTTTAACATGGCTCTCAGCCTTCAAGGATGCAGAAAAACAATGATGACCAAAATAACTATTCTCTAGAGGCATTGAGCAAGAGAATTGAAGCAGCAATAGTCAAAGCCCATTTATACCTTTAACAAAATGATGTTTCTTATTATAGACAGTTTAGGTTGGATTTCTTTACTGTTTGTAAATTGGATCATAAACTCATTGGTATCACGGTATTTGTGGGTAGATTTACAGTTCACAAGACAGGTTTCAATCAAGTTAAGTGTATTCAAATGGAGAAAAGACAACATATACATACTTGATTAGTTGCAGAGTGGTCTGTCACTGGTGTCAGCTGCACATACTGGACTTGGATATCACTCCCTTGGAGTGGGGACCCATCAACACCCCCTGAGGCAGGCTCAGCAGAAGCAACAGCTATCAGCTGAGCACCCTGCAACACCTGCATAGAAAGCAATGGAGAAAGCAGCTTGTGAACAACCACAACCAGAAATGTGTGAAGAACCGCCTAATTTAAACCAGATGCAAAATCAAAACCCGCTACACAGAAACACAAGAAAACTTGCCTATCTGTAACAGTTGCTTTAAATCATGTGGGTTTCTGAGAGGACATGGTATGCACATGGAAAGATTCCCATATTATATGCTCACCACATTTTGCCTTATGAGATTCATAAATTCTGTTTATGATTATTGCAATGACTAACTGGGACAGATTGTGCAGGTTGCACTAAGAATGTGACACTATCAATAGCACACAGCAGCATCACTGAGTAATGCTTTTACTGCCACAGAAATACGCACAGAATCAAGATACTCTTTCTCACAGCTGAAGGTATTTAACTTGTGACCATTTACTTCAGTAATGTTTATATTCCTATCATATATGAAGGAGATATAAGAATTACTTCTAATTAATGCTTACTCTAAATACATCTGACTGGTGAAGACTGTAAGTCTGGCATAGGCTTTAAACATCAAAGAACAGCCCATCCATCTTAAAGTGCTTGCTTAAAAGTGTTCTTGTGATTAGACTAATTTAAATTTACTTCTTGAACCACAAATCACAATAAAATACATGTATGCATTTTAGGGCACAACGACAAGCCCCTTCAGCTCAAATCTACATATTCCATTTTAATTTCTACAGCCTGCAAATGATGTATTTTTAAAATAAGGCATTTGAATCACAGTGAACAAAAGACATCTTTCAAACGAAAGAGACAGAACAAAGAAGAAAACTAGCATTCTTAACAAGGGTTTTTGCTAACAAAGTATGATTTCTCAGCTGATCTGCGGGTGGGTGGCCATGAAGGAGTGGGTAGACCAGAAATGCTCTAGGGAGTGTGGGAGGCAAAAAGAGGTCACCTCCATAAACGACCTTTAGGGGTGTTGTCAGGGTTTTATAGAGATCTTGGGTGTTCTGAAATACAGGCAGCATCAAGCTGCAGAAGGATGCTACATTTTGTTTTTATAGGAGTAAGCAAAATTCTCTCATCCTACGATATTTGTTTTGGAATTATACAACACATACTGCTGGAAACACATTACAGTCTGCCCCATTGATTACCTGCAGGTCTTCAATATATTTTTTCTCTTTTATTTCTGAATTACAAACTTCAGAACAACTGTAAGTGACTGAACAAGCCCATCATTCTCACATAGAAAGTGTTTCACAATAAAGAAGCCTAAACTTTATAACGGTACTGGTTTCCCTGCTTTATTGTATGTTCTCAACTGCACACCTTCTAATCCACTTCAGAACTCCCTTTTATAGGATACACTCTGGAGAAGCAAAAATAACCCAGTATGTGCAGGAGCTGGGTAGCAGAGCCTTTTGCAAATGGGGCAGGTGCAAATACATGGCTTTTCTTTGGCTGTTCACTTGACTTCCAAACCAACACTTTAACTTTGTAATTTTTACCTGCCCTTGACCTTAAAATAAAGGAGTTGCACCAAAAAAACACACAATCCGCCCTGAAAATGAACTTCTCTTCCCAATTCCGCTGGGCTTCTCTAACATCCTGCTTTACTGGTCCAACACAGGTAACAGAATATGGTTGAACGGAAAAATAATAAACTTCAATTCTAACAAAGCAGATTAATTCATGCTTTTAACACACACAGAACAAGAAGCTTCAAGTCACCCTTCCTTTTCACTTCAGCACAGAAGCACGGAAGTATCCATCACGGAGTGTTGCTCAGGCTAACTCAGGCTAGTGAGAGTTCAAGCCTAAAAATGATCCTAAAAAAAGAACGCCTTCAAAAATTCACAAGCAGACAAAAAAACCCCAACCAAATGTTGGGTTTTATTTTAGTTTTTCCCCCCTTTTTTAATAATTCAGTGGAGTATTCAGAAAAAGTATATTTGGCCATCTATTATTACTTGCTGTCAGTGGTAACAAGTTGTCTTGACAGTGACAAGATCTGTAGCTCTCCCGGAGCCTGGGCCCACTCTTTACATTGCACAATTATTTCCACTGCAAGCATAAACAACTGCACAGCTGGAACAGGGTTCGCTAAATTCCGCTCTTCTTTCAGCTTGCAGTTACCACCACAGATACATGCTTTTTCCCAAATAGAAAACCCAGTGAAAAACATCTATCAAGAAAAATCAGAACACTTCAGGAAGGGTCTGTAAGATACCGGAGGCTCTCTTGAGGTGTATGTCTTTGAGAATGCTTTGAAGCTACCAATGCTCTCAAGCACATTCTGGGACCTGGCCCCATCCTCACAAGCCTTCATGTCCCAAACCCTGGTGTCTCAAAGATTACCTACCACATTGCATGGTGACCCCAGTGAAGACAATTTGGCTAAATTAAAAAGCAAGCATGAACGAGCCCCTTCTCTATTTTGCCACCTTTTAGAATAAGAAAATGTTCCCTAACACCTTCAGACAGAAACAGAAATGCATTTCTGTTAGTTTTGATTTTGCATAGTCCTAGAAATACCAGAAGGAAAAGTATTTTGTTCAGATGTTTAAGATGAAGTGTGAGCTCTTGGCATGGTTGGTGAATACAGAATCACAGCTTCTGACCAGTTTTTCTTTAAAGCTCTATAAGCTTTCAATGAGAGGTATCAGAGCTGACAAGCCTGATAACATGAGCTAAGGGACAGACAGATCCCTCCTACCCAGTCAAAGGATATTTTGCCTACACACAGATGTTCTCTGTCCCTCCTTACAGCAGCATTAACACAACCCCAGGCTCCCTGAGAACTGCAGCACAAACACGAACAAAGCCACCAGCATCCCATGGACCTGAATCTTTGCCTTTGTTGGCTTTTTTTTTTTCCTTCCCCCCTTTTTTCCTTCTGTCATTCTCTCTTTAAAGTCTTGATGATTCAGGACATGCAGGCTACTGAGTCTGAAGGTCCTCTGTTTCTAATCCCTTCTTCAGTAAGATGCTTTCCATATAAAGCATAATAATAAAATTAGTATTAATAATGAAAGCCAGCTACTTTCTCTGCTCCCTTCCTTTCCATTTAAAGACCATTTTAGTCCATAACTAACAGTTCCCATTTTATATTCAACTGCCAGGGCAGGAAATAAAATTAAAAAATTAAAATGTAATAGGTTTTCCTTCAGGGTCTTCCAAAATTATTCAAGCACAGTTTCCAACCACAGTTCAATTCGTATCACATCCTCTGCTGATTTTACTTATCACTGAAATATTCTTCTAGAAGCCCATAACTCAAAATTTACCTTTAGACCCCAACCTTCAGAAAGAAGTAACTGTTTTGGGATAGCTGACACTTGCTCACCAAAAAAAACCAAACCATTCCTTGGGCTGGTCCTTGCCAGACTGAGCCTTCTAAAACACATTCTTGCTACTGTTGTGAGCTTTTTTATTAATCTAGGCAAGCACATCTATTTGCCTACCTATAAAAAGCTCAAAAATAAGACACATTAGGATTTTGGTGTCTTTTTTCCATCATTTATTCCTATTTCTACTGCAGGAATGCAATAAAAGATGACGTTTCTTTTAAAAAACAAAGTTTTGAGTCACTGAAAGAGCGGCTGTTTACAGAAGGTTCACATCTGAAAATCCTGTAACACTCAGAGTCAGAAAGTAATCATTTCAGCAAATGTGACACAGAAGAAATTAGCTGTGCATAGGAAAAGAGAAAGATCTTGGTGACATGCTCTAGCTAAAACATTAGTTAAACAGACAGTTTGGGCCCCAAAGTGTAAGGATGGTTACGGGGTTACAGGATTCCTAGAAAACAAAAACCTAATACTTGTCTATTATTGTCCTACACTGCCAAAACTACAAGAATATGTTTGAATAGAAGACATTAATACATTCAAATAAAGACATGAATACATTCAAATAGAAGACACAGCTTCTTAAACTGATAGGAAGTTCTGCTGATAAAAATGTTCACTTAAAAAAAGATAACTCCCTGTAGCTGAAGCTTTTCAGTCTTCAAGTTTGTTTCATGCAGCCTGAAGATTAAAAAATCCACTGTATTTCATGCCAACTAAGCATTTATTTAGTGGATTTACAGGCTTATAGATGGCTTCATCTCACTAGTAAACAGACCCTGTATTTAGGTCCAAAACTCAAAACTTTTTAATATCAGAAACTAGTGAGTTCCTTGAAAACATCAGAGGCTTAGGTTAACCAAGGTCTCCATCACCTTGGCATTTACTATGGAATCTGGAACAGGCAATGCAGAATGCCGAAAGAATGGAGACGTATGGAAAAAGAAGCCAAACCAAACCAATATTTTCTTCCATAAGATTGTCTTTTGTAGCTCTGAATTTCACTTGATGAAGCAGAGCAAGACCCAATACTATCAAAACAAGTCCAGAATGGAGGATACTGAAGTACAAAGGAAAATCTGTAACACGATCTATTTGGTTCAATGTAATCAAATTGGTTCAATTTAACCCAGGGCAAGTGCATTGACAAGCTCATACCTGATGGTGGCCGACACAAAGTTATTTTGATGACACTACAGCGCAGTTTCAGTAAAACTGAAGTGTTAATGTGACAAAAGGAGCAGCAGCAAAGAACAGAGTAACCTCGTTGTTCTCAAAGAAGCAGTCATCTTCACGGTAAGATCAAAGAGTATTCATTGAAAACCACAGTAACCCTTACATAGTATTTATCCCATATGTATATAAAGTCAGAATGTACACAGCCTGATGATGTGCTATCTTTCCAAAGAAATAAATTCCCATTTAACCTGCAATTGGTCAGAACAAATACACAGCTGAAAGTATAGACCAAGGATCACCACATACCACTGCATACTTCTTGTGCTCTATCTAAAACAAAGCAATAAGTATTTTGATGGAATTACAAGACAGTTCTAAGGGCTAAGTTTTCTTTTCCAAACTTTTCAAAATATTAACAGCAATAAAAGACTGGAAGTTCCTCTTCCAAAAAGGTAAGGAAGGCAGATGGCTCACAGTGTTGCAGAGATCATCTGCAG